ATGTCAGCTCCCATAATCCCCAAAGTGGATAAGCATAACCATGCTGGCTAAGGCTGAAGGGAGATCAAATCCTGTCCATCTGGAGGACATCAGGTTAGGAAATTAAGATATATATTGGTCCTAAAGGCCAATTCCACAACTGATGGGAATGGATGATCACAATCATGCAAATGTCAAGGCACAATGAAGATTAGAACAAATTAGTGAGGAAGCGCTTGATGTCTCTCCATAATTAGTTTCAAAACAACTGACAAGGAAGAAGGATGTTGCCATGCAGAAAATTTCTTAGTGGCATCTGAAGTGAGAAGTGTTACACAGTGGACAAGGACAGAAAAATGTACCATGGACTTCTTTCGGAGCTCCAAAATACTCTCCGAAAGTTGGCACATCCATCATTTCCTGAGGAAGCAGCAGCAGGTCAGACAGGACGTCTTCACGGTGCATCTTAAAAGGTTCTAAAGGACAATCAACAGAATCACATGATTCTCCCGTGTCAGAAATTATGTGCGTGCAGCAGCGCTCACATATAAGATAGGAAGAACTTTATAAGTCCCATCAGGACTCTGAAGATTTGGAAAAGCCACATTTTCAGAAGGTTTCAGGATTTCCCCAATCTGCTGCTGGACTATACTGTCAAGTCTTAATTCTCTGAATTGTATGATTTCCTGGATAAAATAGTTAGTTTTTCAGTAGAAGCTTGGGAAGGAGAGGGGAAATTCTCTGGATCCTGAAGAATTTCCCCCCAGGCCTCCCACTCAGACCCAAATCCGAATCATGACTAAATCTGGTGCCTGTTGTGAATCAGAACAATGGAGCAGCCCCGAACATAAAAGGATCTGGAACCTTCATGTGAACAGGATTTGTGTCACCTCTTCCTATTAGCCAGGTTCAGCTCCGTTTCAGCATCAGACAAAACACGCTGTTCCAGTGCATCTCCTTTCAAGCTTACAAGCAGGGTTTGGCAATACTTCCCCATGCCCTCTCTTCCACCCTCTGAGAGCAGAACTGAGTTCCTAAAATAAATGCAACTGATGCAATTCAAGCCCTGATAACTGATAGTGGGGCTGGCCAGCCCGTCATGATCCTTGACCTCCCTGCAACAGCCCAGGCGAGCCCACTCACTTCTGCTGGAGAAGTCAAACTGACAAGGCTTTTAACTGGAAGGAAGAGAAAGCTCTCAGAAAACAGTAAATGTCTCAGACAAAACAAGAAAAGGGGACAGGCCTATCTGGCCAAGATGGAAATGCCGACTTGCTGTTTCTAGACGCTTTTCAAGCCCAACAGCCATCCACATATTCATCTTGACAGCTTCTGCCAGATATCCTATTACACCCTTGACGAAACAGAGGCAGTGAGGCAAGAAAACATCGTCTCTGACCTCCTTGCAGACAATTTCTTTTCCTCCAAACTGAGCCTCTGCCCTGCAGCTGGACAGTCTGCAATATGCAGAAGAAACTTTCAAGACTCAAAGCACCCTTCCGCTGTTGAGATGACGGAGCAGGAAGGAGTTTGGTTAGGCAGAAATTCCAAAAATGTTGGAGAACTAAGCTACAGGTCTAGGTGAGCGGTCTACCACCTTGCTAAGCATGGCACCCCTTCAATTGTTCTTGCTAGGTTGGGACAACCATGACTTTTATGCTCAGTCATAAGTTGGCTGGTATCAGATTATTCATTTTTCTCTCCTTCAGCCATGTTTTTCAAAGAAGGGATGTACATCTCTAAATGTGATGGAATGGAATTATGAAGGCCAAGCTCAGGGAGATAAGCATTTTCTTAACTCACCAGAACCGCGTGGGAGAAACAAGAGGATGAGACTGGCACTTCCCTGAGGAATTCACACTGTTGTGGCTGGGGGGCTTTTGGGGATGGGGTTTTAGTCTGGGAAGATTCTTGCTAGAGGTTGTAGCTAATAAACATAGCTGGACTGAATTTGCATGGTCTCTTGGAGTTCCTTGGGCTAGGCCTGACACTAAATTTCCAAATGTGGTACTTGTTTTGCTCTGTTTGAGACACGAAAGTATCTCAAACATACCTCCTTCAAGTAGAGCGTAACTCCTGGTCACTTCATAGACACCTCCACCTTGTTTTCTTGGCAGCCTTACGGAAGTGGTTTGCCTTCTTTCTTCCCAGTCTAAACTTCAGCCCTGGTATTTCCCAATAGTCTCTCATCCAAATACTAACCAGACCCAACCCTGCTTAGCTTCTGAACTCAGAAAGGGTCAGCCAAATGCTGCCATCTGCCAAGGCTTTGTTGAGAGAAGTCTTACCTAAACACACAGAAAATGCTGGGGAAATTTATTTATATGCCATCCTTCTCCTTCAGAAGGTGACTCTGGGCAGATTACAATTAAAACCCAAAACAATAAACACAATAAAAATATAAACATCCATATTAAAATAACTAATAACAATTCTATATAAAAAGCCTATATACAATTCAAGATGATGGGGGGGAGCAGAAACGCCTTATAAACCAGTGTTTCTCAACCTCAGCAACTTTAAGATGTGTGGACTTCAGTTCCCAGAATTCCTCAGCCAGCATGAAGTCCACACATTGTAAAGCATGCTGGCTGGAGAATTCTGGGAGTTCAAGTCCACCCATCTTAAAGTTCCTGAAGTTGAGAAACATTATTATAAACTAGGTCATATTTTTAATCATTCACAGAATCACTGAGTCAAAGGAACTCTGGCTTCTCTTTTGTAATGCAGATCGTTTATAGCTAAAATGAACAACATTCATTTAATGCACTAGCTCAAATTTATATCCTCTCAATAGCCAGTATTTTCCTTCAACCTTTAAATGCATCAGAACTTGGAAAAAATTCAGGTTCTATTCCTAGATCAATCAATGAGTCAACAGCTGGGAACTCCAAAAAATTAGAGCTTGTTCCTGCTTATTGGTTCCAAGTTCCGCCCCAAAAGCCTTGAGAGGAAGTGAGATAGTCAAGGGCTCTGCGTCCCACCTCCTCCTCTTCTTATCCTGTGGAAGCTACGTACTATTCAAGAAAGTCGAGGATAAATCAACTTAACAGAGGCAGTCTCTTTCTCCCTCCATTAATCTCTCTGTCCCAATTTTGTACCCCAGGAGCTATTCTGAGACAACTGCTCTGTGAAATTGACTTGTAGAGGACTGATGAGTCCAGGGAGGACCTGCTCATGCTCCAGCTGCACCAGTAAGATATAACAGCTTGAAGAGAGGCGTTGGTCTCTGACATCCAATGTTGAGAAGAACAAGCAAACTTAGTGGTTTTGTGCTCCATAATACATGACTCAATATTGTGGAATTCTGCACACTGCATATAATGCAAATTGCTCCAACTGCTCACGGCAACTCTAATACTTTGGGCTCCTTATCCATGGAATTAACATTTTGAGGATGAGATGTCCAGGAACAGAGAGAGTTCCACAGATGTTCTGCACTCATCACTCCCATGAATATGATCAGGAAGCATCTGCTGCCTCAAATCCAAGCACGCAGAAACGAGCAAGACTTGTTCCCACTCCGTACAGTCGTTACGACTGAGGTGCGACTCTTGTGAAGTTTTCTACAGGCCAGCTTTTAGAATAACACAACCAGGCAGCAGCAAAAAAGGAACTGACTGATGGAAAATCCAACATGACCCTAATGGAGAAATCATGCCAACTATGAATGTAGGAGGAATGCTAGGGCATTGATAGGGTCTACCCAAGGAAATGGATCTTAGAAGCAGAGGAAAGGCTCCTGATGGGGTGAATTCAAGTATGCTGCAGCAGTTAAGTGTGGGGTGTCAAAAATATGTTGAATGCATGCAATGAGTCCCTCTGAAATATCCCTTCCTCATGCAGCAGGACTATTCGTCTTGTCACATGAAGACCATCAGTGCTGAGTGCCACTGAAACAGAGAAATGCTTTGGATAATGTGAATGAGAAAGTGGACTCTAACAGGTGTGGATGTCTTCAGACAATCGAGTCCTAAAGTGGGTGGGAAAAACTAGTCTGGACACTTTCCAAAATTGGTTTTCTATTGGGAAACATTGAAACCCATGCTTCATATCAGACTACGCACTGAGTGGGGTCAAAATGCTGTCTTCACTGTGATACCCTATTAATTAAAATTCAGGACGGATCACTGATTTTTTAAAAAATGGGACATTCCACGCATCTCAGGGAGTTGAGCTATTGTTGTTTCTCACTGCTGTCTTTTACCTGCCACATCCATAGGCTTAAACGCTAGCTGTGAGTCAAAGCAACGGTTCCCGTCATCCACCGTCCATGAGTCATTGTGGTCCAGGAATTCTTTGTAAGGCATTTGTTCATCCATGATTTTTCCTGGGGACCCTGCAAAGTGAAAGGAAAGCATCAGTCCTGTTATTGATACTCAGGCAGGAAAGCTACAGTCACCCATTATATGTTAGATGAAAACTGCGCTTCCGCTAGAATGACAAAGATGTGTAAATGGACAGCTTTCACAATAGAGGGAAGTGAACAAAAAAGGGTTCTTCAGATATATTTAAAATAAAAGGAAGAAAAAAGAATCCATTTACCAGCTTCCCTGTAAAGACAGTAACATGCCAACAGGTAACCAAGCAAAGACAGAAATACTGAATTCCTACTTTGATTTATCTTCATCAACAAGAGATTGTGTTCCACCAAGCAACCATGAAGAAAAGAGCAAATGGGAAGGATTAATGTTCGGGAATAACAGGAATATGGGTACGGAATTTCCAGTTATTTCAAACAAGTTTGTATCTCCAGGTCCTGAAGACTTACATTCTAGGGTCCTGAAAGAATTAACTGATTCCTATCTTGGAGAATTCCCGAAGAATATGTGAAGGGCCAGATGACCAGAGGAGATCAAAAGAAGGGAAAGGAAGATCCAAAGAACTGCAGGGCAGTCATTCTGACATGAATTCTAGAGTAGACCATAATACAATTGCTCTGGAAGCCTTGAAAACAAGGCGGGAATTATCCCAGATTGTCAAAAACATATATTACCAGACTAACTGTACCTCATTTTTTACTGGATAACCTTTTTAGTAGATTGTGGGCTGCTCTAGATGTAATATATCTTGATTTCTGCAAACTATTTGACATAGTAACCCTAGTTAAATGTGGGCTGAATGACATTACAAGCAAGCAACTACGCAGCTGGTTTGAAAATTATATACATGTGCTCATCAACAGTTCCTCATCAAACTGGAGGGAGTGCCACAACATTCAATCCTGAATCTTGGTAGTCCTCAATATTTTTATTAATAACATAGATTAAAAGGTAGAGGAAATGTTTATCAGATTGGCAAAGGACACAAATCTGGGTGGAATAAACAGCATGGAATATATCTGGCTTGATAACAATATTTGTGAAAAAGATACCGAAATAATTGACTGAAAACTGGGTATGAGTTACCTGGCTCATGTGGCTGCAAAAAAGGCAAATGTAAGTTTATGCTGCATCAGCAGAGTAGAGCTTCTAGTTCATGAGAGGTAATAGGTCCACTTTATTTGGCTTTGGTCAAGCCTCACCTTGAGTATTGCATTTAGTTCTGGGCACCTCACTAAGAAAAACCAAGACAAGTTGGGAGAAGTTCAGAGAAGAGCAACCAGGATGAATGGGGGACTAGAAAACTATGAAAAGAAATGGAAAGAACTGGAAATGTTGAACCATCAGAAAACTGAAGGTAGGTATACTAGCCCTCTTCAAATACTGGAAGGATGATGTATGTTTGACAGTGAAGGTGGTGGGCTCCCCTTCACAGAAGGTGTTCAACCATCTACCAGGAATGATTTCACTGGGATTCGTGCTCTGAGCAAGAGTTGGACCCAGAGCCTGATTACAGATTGATAGAATTGGAAGAGATTAATTTTCATCTTCATTTCCTTGAGAAGTCCCTCAATATTCTTCCTAGCCTATAACCCAAATCACAACTTCTATCCAATTATTTCTAAACAGGATTTTTTTTGTCAAAAACTTCTCAACTCAGTATTTTTCATGTCTGCACTTGGCACTTCTTTGCTCTCTAGAGCTCCTTTTCTCTTTTCGACATATTCCTCCACAATGTTGAAGTTCTGTCACCCACCATCAGTGTGTTCTACCCCCTTAAAAAGCAAGTTGTCTAGAAGATGAGGAGGTCATCTAAGCAATTTGAGGACACAGCGGCTGTGGACCTCAGAAAAATAATGTGCCTCAGGCACTGGTCTTCTAATAATATCATTCTCCTGAGGGGTCAAAGAAGAGTACAGCTATGGGCAACAGAAAGGAAGGAACTAATGGAGTTTCTTCTGCAGGTCCCAGTAAATAATAACCAGCTATCACATGGGATGCTGTAAAATGGATATCAGTATACAAAGCAAAGGATGAAGTCCACTGAGAAAGAAGCCGGGCATGTGGATATGCTTCAGTGAAGCACTGGCACTTCTTCATCAGGCAAAGAGAACTGGCAGGTTAGCAAATGCACAAAGTAGGCCTCAAGACTCCACTAGTTCATTTGGAAGTTGAGAGTCCCACCTTTCCTCCCACCCAATTCTAGCCTTCAGAGAATTTACTCAGTAAAGTGTCCATGCCAGCTGAGACTTGAGCTTGTATTCTGGCAACTCTTCAACAGCAGGCAAGCAGCCATCTTGAACACTTAATTCTCTTTGGTTGCCAGCTCTTATAGGACAGAATCTAAGTCTTTCGTACTGCGAAACAGAAGAACCAGACATTTATCCAGATCTGTCTTCTCCAGCCAGGGCATGTTCCAGATGTGTGCACTTCAACTCCCAGAAATCTCCAGCCAGCACTGGCCAATGCTGAAGCCACACCTTCAGAGGATGACCAGGTTGGGGAAGGCTGAGAACCTGGTCGTTCTAGATCATGGCTATTCTAGTTTCCAACTGTCCCAAGTCCTCAGAATTTTGTTCCTAATCAGATCAAATGAAAGGTATTGAAAATGTAATGCTTTCCTTCTCTCACTTTCTGCTCCCTTTTGTTATTATACTGGAGAATTATATAATAGCATTATTAACACAACCATACAGACATAGACTCAGAGCCAGCAAACCTGGACAATCCAATACCACTCCCCCCCCCCACCAACAGCCTATGGACCCCCACTATCCTACCTTGGTGCATGAAAGGTACCTTCAGCTGGTTTTAATTTGTAAAGGGACACAAGGTAAGTTGTCCTAGTTCTGTTGCACAGCTTCAAATCAACGCTCCATTTTTCAGTTCTTTAATGGAAATTTTCTATTAAAGTAGAGAATTTATTTGCCGGAGTTCCATGATTAATGGTACCCTGAAATCTGTGATGGGGAGCCTGTGGGCACAGGAACGCTCTCTGTGCACTCCCGCAAATAGCTACCACTGGCAGCGTGGGCCAGTGAGGCTCGCTCATTTAAATAGGTCCAAGAGAAATGAACAAAGAGAACTGTGTTTGAGATACATGGTCACCCCAGCCTCCCCCACTTAAAAAAAAAAAACAGTATGTAAAACATACTGCTGTCAAAAAGTATTTGCATTAGATTTTTCCCTGGAAGGTCTGTTGCAGCTGCTAGTCTGTGTCAAAAGGAGGAAGTCAAAAGTCCAACAGCCCATCCTTTTCCCTAGAAGATGTTTTGTTCTACTAGCTTCCCTGAAGCTAAACTGGAGGCCGTCATGAGTGAGGGAGTGCCTTACAATCTCATGTTCGAGGGTCCCCGGCTGATCATTATATCAGCATCACCCTACCTCTTTATGCAGACCATGAGATCATCACTGAAAGCTTTCAGAAACAGTCATGTATGTAAGGCAAGCATTGAGACTGGTGGGCACCATGACACACGTAAGCCTCTGAGCAGCATTTATGGGGTCCCAATGTCAAATAAAATGTACTGTAACAAAGTCTCCTGAATCTCCCCACCTGAAGTCTTGATAGTCATGGGGCAAGAAATCAAACTCAGATGAGAATGCCCGAACTCATCAAGATTTGGAATCTTGTAAGATTTGGGACATTTCATACGAGTACCCTCCCAGATTTACATCACAGGGTATCAGTGGGGGCACCACAATTCTATGTTCTAGTTGCTCTTGGGCAGATTCCTTATCGCATCCCTGCCTCAGACTCAAATTCCTGTGCTCCAAGGGGCACAAAGTGGTGTGTGAGGGGTGACTTTGTTATCACCCAAAGAAAAAAGAATAGCTGAGGCTGAGCAAGAGGGAGCATCGCAGCCAACTGGAGACTCTCCCCAGGTATTCCTGATCCAACTGGAATTGGATCAGGAATTCCAACTACTGCATGGCTGCAGGCTCTTTTTCAGCAAAGTTTCAAGTAGGAACTTGAAAAGAAAAGAGCAAGCAGAGTTTGTATTCCTGGAGAAAGTCATTCAGTAACTTTGCAAAAGGGAGAACGAGAGAGAGGCAGTTCTGGGCTCTACTCATGGGGGGAAAAAGAACCCAAAATTCAGAGTCAGGCGATGCTGGCTCTAAAAGAATGCAGGAACGCCAGTATGGAGGAAGATGCCTATATCAAATACACACACCAGGCGGCATCTCTAAGATGGGCACCAGTTTCAAAAAGATGCCCTCCATTTCAATCCAAATGGAAGGCACCTTCTTGGAATCCAGACCTGATCTTGGAGATGCCACCTGGCACCTCCCTAAAGCAACAGGCACTGAACTTATTTATTTCCCCAAATGAGATGAAAGAAAACTGCTAACTGGCTCGCAAGATTTACAAAGTGTAACCACTCCCCTGCCTCAAGAAAGTGGCTGTCAGCCTTCTATGCGTTAAGACTGCCGAATGGCTCATAAATCTTAAACATCTTTTTAAGGATCTGAAAACTGTCCTTGGGGCCCTTGCCAAATGCCCGTCCTGATCCTACAAGGGGTAGCCAAGGTTTCTTCCAAGGCCACTTAGGTGACAACCAGCCTAAGAGCATTGTTTGACCCAGACAGCTTTGAGCAAACTACTCACTGGGTGAAGGTTCTAGAAGGGAGGTACAGGACAGGGTAAGGCCACATTTGCTCCATGTATTAAACTGGTGAATGCTATAGCAGACATCTAGAGTCGGCTGGAGTCAGCTGGCATCCAAATTGAATAAAACAGAATAAATTAAATACATCTCTGAATTTACTGAGATGAAAGGGAGAAATAACAAATGAGCATGGGCAATCATGCCCTTGGAGATCTAAAAATTTGCTGCAGGTACCAAATGGACCTTTAGTTGCAATATTTGCCCGGTCCCACCTCTGCATCAAGAACCATCTGGGCTCTGAGAATAAACTTAATAGAGCAAACTTCTTTGGGAGTGCTATGATGCAAGATAAACAAAACACTATTCTTCTAGACTCTGAGACGTGCAACGTGTGATCCTTGCTTTCC